TTCGCAGTATGTGTGTATGTATGTATCTATACATAAATATATATATATATATATATATATGTATGTATATGAATATGAATATTATATATGTATGTGTGCATATAAATATCTAGATAGAACCTGATATACTGGCGTTTTCACTTTAAGCAATAATTCATGGGGTGGTTGGGGCCTGAATACCTGCGCGAAGGAGCAAAAGGCTTAAGGCATCAACATGAAACACTGTAGACACCTAGTTGCCTTAATTCATGAAATTTCTGCGCGCACGCACACACACACACACAACCTGGCTTCTGGGCGAGTGAAACCTGCCTGCTGGCCGAGTAACATTATGAAGGTTATGTATGTTACGTATATGCCTGGACAAGCGCGGCGGCTACAGCATATGCGCCGGCTAGATGTAGGTCTGCCGTGACCATTAAACCCTAAATCCTGAACCTTATGGTACCCTGGTAGAACCCATTAACCCTCAAAGGATAAAGCCCAATGGTAAACCTTTGAAGGACACCCTAGAAAGGAACCCCCTCCAGTGTGGACGGGAGCCCAGGTCCAAGTACGTCGAGACGGTCGCAGACGAGCGCCTTTTCGAGCAGGTCTACCTGCAGTACACCTCGGAGTACCTCAAGGGCCCGCTCTACTGGCACCGGGCTCGGATGATAGTTTACGGTATGATGAGGATTTATGGCTTAGCGAGTTTAGTGGTAACTCCCCCTCAACCCTAAACCCCAATTTAAACCCTAGACCCTGAACCCTAAACCCTAAACCCTAAACCCAAAACCCAAAACCCAAAAACCCAAAACCCTAAACCCTAAAGCCCAAAAAACCCTGAACCCTAAACCCCAAACCCCAAAAACCCTAAACCCTAAAGCCCGAAGCCCTAAGAACACCCCAAGCCCCCCAGGTACCTACTATATAGGGTACTAGAGCCCCTAGGACCCTATATAGAAGGTACCTGGGGGGTTAAGAACAATCAAGGCCCTAAACCCTAAACTCTAATCCCTCAACCCCTAAACCCTAAACCCTAAACCCCAAGCCCTAAACCCCAAACCCTAAAGCCCTAAACTCCCTAAGAACAATCAAGGCACCCGGACAAGCTCCAGGGCCCCTAACATGGGCCCCTTAAGGGTAGATATAGGGTATATAGTAGGTCTATTAGGGCCCATACCTCATGGAACCCTAAAGCCTAAACCCTAAACCCTAAACCCCTAAACCCCTTAAAGGAACCCTTAGAAGAACCTTTATAGTACCCCTACAGAACCCTTAAAGGAACCCTTAAACCCCTAAAGAACAATCAAGGCCCTAAACCCTAAACTCTAAACCCTAAACGCCTAAACCCCTAAACCCTATGAACCCTAAAGCCTGAACCCTAAACCAGGGTTCCTTAAATCAT